CGGAAATGAGTATCTCGGTTTTCTCTATAAATTCTTTCGAAATTAATTAATGTTCCGATAAAAACTTTGCTATTTACTCTCGAGATGTGTGAAGAAGCATAATGGCAGGTGTATGAGTGATTAAAGACTGGTTTGGATTGATAATTCGATTTGTTGACCACTTGCAGATAGCAAGTAAAAGTAACTTTAGAACTGCCGCTAATTCACGCACTCTGCAATTCACTACAACACGTAATAAATCTTCTCAATCTGCTGTGTCTTCATCAATCGTTGCCATGTAACAGCTACCAACGGCGGATATTCGCCTTATTCTAGGTTCCCGAATTATCCCCTTGCCTAATCTACCAACTTCTAATAGCAAAAGCTCACAACGACTGAAGAGGAGTTCCCTGACTAACTCACTAACTCACCAACCAAATCTTCACTTTCCTGCACTGCAAATTAATTGTCCTATGCATAGTATCTTGGCATGGACCGCGTAGAAATCACCGTTCACTTGTTGTTGATCAATTCTTACCTGTTAGGAAACTGTCGCCTAGCAACGAGCGCTGTTTAAAGAGACGTTACTTAACAACGGGCCTACGTGCTGCAACATTTAGACCTTCATACAAAGCGTCCTTTATTCTTGCTCAGTTGTAAGCAAAAACCAAAGCGTGCCTACAACGTTTAGTAAAATATTGCATTAAAATTTGCAAGCAGGAGTTGATAATGGCGATGCTACTAGGAAAATTTTTCAATTCTTTGTCTCCATCGCGCCAAAAACTGAAATAATATTTTGCGTGCATGTAAGGCATGTTGAACACTAATGGAATTGTTTATAATAAATGTTAAATGACAGAAGAATTCAGCGAAAAAAAAATGCTTCTATGTATTTATAACTCATAGTATGCAGGATTAGTTCAAATAAAAAAAATGTTACAATTACATAAATTTCTCCTTTTACTGCCTCATGATATAAGTATATCATACTGCAAAATCCCGCTTCTAAGTTGCACACTTGGTATAAATTAGGATAACCGAGAAAACGTGTTTATCTATGAAATTATACTTGGATACTCAGTCAAGTAAACTCCATCAGCAGAAATCATGACATTCCCTTCTCTGTAAATAATCCCTGTGACCAAATATTATATTCCTTCGGTTTTTATGCAACTATATACATAGCCTATACGCTGGCGACGTGGAAAAGTGAGACATTTCCTCTCAGATGTAAAGGAGTTAGTAATTCCTATCAGTAATTACTTGGTTAGAGATAGGGGGACATTTCGAGTGAAATGTGATTTATTATGTAGAGGTGTACTGACTATAGATTTACACCTTGAAATCAAAAGAGTTTACCTTCCTTTCATTTAAGAATTCTATTATTATCTCAAGGGACACACGGTAATGTAGTTGCTTGAGGCAGTATGCTGCAAGACGAAAGGTTGTGGGTTCGATTCCCGATTATGTTATTGGATTATTCAGTTGATTAATCCTTCCAGCCGCACTGTGATCCTTTAGTCGACTCAGCTTCTAATGGAAATGAGTACCAAGAATGTTCCTGGGGGTAAAGGCCGGCCGTCGCGTAAGTCTGAGAACCTCACCGCCATCTGTGAGCCAATTGCCTAGAAAATGTGGAAGCCTCGATGTCTCACAAACCTATGAGCCTCCAAGGTCTGATACAAGGATAGCTTTGCCTTTGTTATCATTATCTCAAATTATCGAACGTTAGGTAGGGTGACTAATGTATAACGCTTTGTGAGAAGATGGAAGCAAGAGTCAGTGGCCTCATTTCGAGTAATACCACGGCATCCTCTAAAGAGACTGCGGGGGGAATAACGAAAAATCTCATTCAATATGGCGGATCTTCGGTTAGAGATGTGTGAAAAGAAGCTACTAAAATAAGCCATGGTCATTTCGTCACCATTTTATTTTTACATCAAGTCCTAGCAGATATTCTTTTATTGGTTGAACGCCTCTGTTTAGGTCAATTCTTCTTCTTGTCAATTACAACTCTGTGTAAATACGTATACCCAATTTAGAATGTCAGTTGAAAAAAATGTTTTTAACTTATGATACAGTAGCTTCAAACTCGATTTCTACGCGTGAATATGTGGTAGGAAATTTGGGAATAATATTGTCAACTTGAATTATTGCAAATTTTACGTGTAAAGTCAAAAGTTTTATAAAGTTTCCAACTCAAGCAGAAGTTCATTGTGGAGTTTCTCTCACTTGCCTTGTGCGCAGCCAGTGAAATGAAACATTTTATGCCATGCAGTTATTAATAAAATTACATATTTTTACACCATTGAAACTTCTGTATTCTTGTCTCAGCCGAACCCAGTTCCATCCCACACATCGAAATATGCATTTATATTACTTCTACACTCTCTTCTGCTTTAATCAACCAAACAGCAGGACGAGGAAACGCGATTTCTCAGAACGTCGAAATGATCTAATATTGGTTCAAAGAAACAAGTCTGATATGCATTGAATGTTCTCCACGTGTGGAGGAACTTCAGAATGTAATGTTTCATCCACTATTTATCCTAGTGCCCAGGTTAAATAACTCTGAGTTCTCTGTTAAACAGTGATTATCTTTCATCTCGGCTTACAGATAGTTGCTTCGAATAACCAAATGAGCTTCCGGTTGAAACGAACATTTCACAGGTTACTGATGATATATGTGAAATTATATTATTAAAGGAAATTAACGCCCATATGATGTAATACTAGGTAGTCAATTTGAACTGAAACCAGGAGAAACAGCGTCATATATATATATACACAAATACACCTCTTCTTCTTCTTCTTCTTCTTAGCGTTCTCCCTTTCGGGCTTTGCAGTCTTCAGTTTCGAAAATAATCTGCTCTCCATTTTCGAGCATTCTCTCTCCAAAAAAGGACTTTATACCTGTTTTCCACTTACATGCAAGTCTACTCTCTTCACTTTCGTCCTTATGGTAACAAGTGCAACGCATTTTTCGGTAACATTTGTTCAAATTTGGCCAAAATATCTCAGTTCCCTGATTTTTAGCAATCTTATCAGTAATGAAGTAACATCCATTTCTTCTCACAACATTTCATTTCTATCCCTACTTTCTCTTGTCTCCTGAAGGAGCCATTTTCTTAAATAAAAAATAAGGCGTTTTCATTTTACCCTTAAATTTTTCAGTCAATGGCCAAATTTTATACACACAGAGCAGAAAATTTTGAAATGTTCTGTGAAGCATATGTACCCTTACATTCTTGTAAGGCACCCTGTACCGCTTCTCTTCCGATTCCTTCCCCGTCAAAATGACATCAGGATGTCTTCAGGGTAGAAACGTCCGCGAGCGAGGAACCAGTGTGAGCAGATGACTGCAGCTACTGAAATTTCCCAGCTGAAGAAATAGGCTAATTGTGACAATGCTTCCACGCGAGTGTTGGAATTATACGTATTTGAAAGGTTCAAACGATTAAAAGAAGGGCGTGAAGATCTTTTTCGAAGAGGCTGGCATCCTTCAACCACTCGAAATTCAGACACAATCGAAAATGTGATATGAGATCGTCAATGGATCCTCAGAATGATGGCGGTTGAATTAAACACCAACAAGGAGAAGATTTGCCCATCCTCCATGAAGATTTTCGGAAGAGGAATCTCTGCGCAAAGTTCGTCCCACACAGACTCACGGACTAGCAGAAGCTACAGAGACTCACATCTTCCTAAGGCTTCGTTCATACTTGTCAAGACAATCCCAGTTTCCTTTATTGTATTTTTCTCTTTTGTTGGTTGGAAACTGCCCTCAAAGGGATGAGATTTCAGGATGCTGAAGACATTGAGAAAAGAGTGACGGCCGAAGTAAATGCTTTTCCTTCCGGAGTCTTTGCTGTTTTCATAAACTTTTTAAACAGCTGAACAAATGTATTTTATTTGGCGGAGATTACTTTGATTAGAAATATAACAATTTTTGTTATCCTTATATTTCTTACATCTTTTTTCACACTATTCCTGGAATTTTATTGCCAGACATTTTATATTTCATGTCGCTCTTATCTTTTGTCTGCGCTTTCTGGTCTCTTGGAAAGAGTAAGACGTGGAGTACTCTTGTTCTTAATTGTAATGCCCAACTCACAGAGAGAATGACTTCCATTTTCATTACCAGACTGAATGTCGCAATGGAGCCACTCTTAATAATCTTGTCATGTAAAAATTTTATGTAGGTAAGGTAAAGTTGCCCCTGTGCTTAAATAATTAGGCACTACGCCATGAAGGCGTATGAGGGAGTGGATGTATAGATCCAAATTTTCTTGACTTCGGTATTAAGTGGAGTTGAGTGGTCATCTTCACGCCTTGACCGCTTTACCCCCGAGGACATAAGAGGTTTGGGTGGACCCCAGAGTAGGCCTGGATGACGCGGAGAAGAGAAAATTTTTACGGGATTAATGTTTAGTATAATGAAACACTTGTCTAGAATTAGGAAAGCTTATTTAAAATGGTTCACGTAGGTGCTATAGGACTGTGCGTCTTTAGTGCTAAAGGTCACGTGTATGTTTTGTTGGGTGAAATGGTGTATTTCGAATTTTTTATCTTTTTGATGTAAAGCGTGTATATGTGGTTGATGTCGATGGCCTAGTGCAGTCCTTAATTTTAGAAAAATAACGACAATTTTCAATAACCTTTACTAATTTTAGACAAGCATTACATTATATTTAAACATTAATGCCACGTAAAGCTTTTACATGACAAGACTATTAGCAATGGATCCATTGCAATAAACAGCCTGGTAATGAAAGTGGGTGAAATTTGTTGGATGTGAAAGCTTGATGATTGTCGTAAATGACCGAAAATATAGCAAAAATAGCATCTAAATAAATAAATAACTTTATCGACAATTTAGGTATATTAGGTTAATTAAAAGCATATAATTGTCGTAATTAACGGATATATTTACGTAGTAGTGATAAACACAGAAGGGTACAAAACAAATAATGAAGGTAAATACTACGTTCACAAGTCTGTGTTTATGAAGACTTACTCACCCTATATCGATTCCGGGCTGGGCCTTGGTAACTTCCTCCATCGCCATACCCACGCTGCGGGAAGCATGGAAACAAAAGAACGACAAATATTAGTGTTACTGTAAGCAGCAGTAATTTTAGTATATAAGATGGTGCAGATGAGGCGATGGATGAATGAACGACAAGAAACACGCATTAGTAACAGAATGAAGGCTGTTTGTAAAAGCAAACATAATTATAAGAAGAAAACTGAAAGAGCGAAGCAGAGATTGTCTAAGTTTCACGCCAGATATATTTAATAGACAAGTACATGTATGACACTATCTAAAAGTGAGTAAAATTTTGTTTGTTCCAAGGAACACTTTTAATTATCTTCTTTTATTACTAGTGGGGTGGGACTAAGTCTCTTCTACTGCGGCCACTTCTGGCCTATTGTACCAGCCCCAGATGATAGGTGAGGGTGATTGTGGACCAATTGGTGGAATGAAGATTGGCAGGGGAAACCGAAGTATTTGGAGAAAACCTTCCCCAGTGCCACTTTATCCACCACAAATCCCACTTGACCAGCTCCGGGATCGAACTCGGGCTGCCGCAGTTAGAAGGCAGCGACTAACCGCTTGAGCTATGGCACAGTCTCACTTTTTTTAATTAAATAAACAATATAATTTTCAGGTTTCAAATATGAAGAAAGGTACGATGTAAATATTGTCACGTGTCACACAGTGACTCAAGGCGGGGTTCGGATTGGTAATTGGATTTATTGACAACCTATAGGTCGTAACTACAGTTAATTGTTACACTATTTCTGCTTTCCACAATTTACAATCACTCCACAATTTACAATCTCTCCACAACTAATCTCTTCAGGCTATCTGCACTAATATCAATGGATTTTTCACACAGGAACTATAACAGTGTCACTGAATTACACACTCCAAATATTACATATAAATAAATCTTCTAAATACACGGTAAATCTTCACAGATCGGCTTCTAGTTCTTCTGTGCAGCTAGTTCCGATTCTCTCTGAGCTTACAGATTACGGCTCTCCATATATAGCCGCGGAACGGATATGCATCACAGGAACCAAATGTCACGTGATTTCTAACCAGCGAGTCTATCTACAGAAAACACGTCTCACGTGATCATTATCCACTGTGGCGACGTCACTGCAGACACGGAAAACACAGCTCCCTTTATTGTTGCGTGTTGGGCCTTATTTACAGAGCTTTTGCCTGGCAACGCGTTGATCAAATCCTTTACAATATTTATTTACTCAAGAATTATGCTTGAAATAAAGTAAGTAGCAGCCATGATCGAAAACTAAAGGCACTTTTCTTATTTCCTTTTTATTCATGTTCATTATTATCTGCTTCATTACTAGAAGGCCAAATAAATACGTGCATCGGTTCAAGCTTTATTCTCGTTATGATTCTAAGTGCCTTCACTATTCTTTTTCAAAATCTCTTCTTGTTATAAGTTGAAATGTCCTAATTCTTCTGTAAGTTAGGCAATACAACTTATATATTCCATTCGGAAATTGTGATGCACGTCAAGGCGACAAGGGACAAGACAAGGCAGTCTGCCACGGGACCCTAACAAATTTTTCCACCAAATGTTCCTCACTTACATAATCTAGGTACACAAAACAAAAGAAACTTACGTATAAAATAAGCACTTAAGTTTAATTTATAGCATCATACAAATTTCTGAATTCATGTTTAAAAGATAATTGATCTGTTGTTATTAAATCAAATAATATTATGCCGCTTAGTCTCCAAATATTTTTCTTAAAAACCCAAATTAAAATACGCCTATTTCTGTCTAGAAAACTGCAGCACTTACACTGAAGGACTCTGAAATTGACTGATGGACTCTGCAATTGACTGATGGTCTTCGTATTGGTATATAGGAGATAGGAAGCTGCTGATATGTGTAGGACGAATGGCGTCCAGCATCATGCACTTAAAATCTACTTTCGTATCGCCATATCACACCATACTCTGCATCACATATTCCATTCTATCGTGCCGCATCGTGTCATACATCACCGAAAATCTCGGTGCTGCTGGTAGCGTGCTGCTCCATGTTCGGGAGGGGTTCTAGTCTCGGTTCAGAGGGTGGGTAGTTCCCGTTGCTTTCCTCGTTCATTTCATGCGAGTGCCGGGACAGTGCCTCAGATCAGTTGTCGAGACATTTTTGTCAGATCTTCCGTCTCATTCAATGAGCACCTTAAAATTCCAAGTTCAATAATTTGTGTTTGTGAGAGCTCCCATAGATAAATCACAAGCAAGAAAACATACGGCACGGTAACATGTGTAAAAAAAAAGACTTTCTTAGGAGCATACAGTGTGCAGGCAATGATTGGGGTGAAAGTGGAGTAGGAGATTGTCTTATAATATGTTCTTGTGAAGAGAATAATGAGCCATAGTGTTTCAAGAAAACGAGATATTAAGCAACGTTCTGCACTACAAAACTAGTTAGGTTTAGTCGTTCATAGTTTCTGTCGCATTTATCAGAATCAGGATGGATTAATAAATAGATAGACAGGTATGTATGTATATACTTTTTTGTACTAAGTTGGCTTGAAGAGCTGTAATCCATCGGTTACGCCTCAGTTTTCCTGGAGATCGTTTGGCCAAGTTCGTCTTAGTCGTATGTATATACGTAGGTAGGTAGGTAGGTAGGTAGGTAGGCAGAAAGTCAGGAAGGTAGACAGACAGACAGACGGACAGACAGGCAGACAGACGGACGGACGGACAGACAGACAGACAGATAGATAGATAGAATTCCGAACTAGTTTTCTTATTATTATTCTTCAACACCTCAAAGTATATATACGCTACTGCTCTCTGCATTCACAAGCCATTCACCTGCTCTGAAGATGGAGGCTATACGTTCCTCCGAAACGTCTGCCAAAACGAAGAATACACGGCGCCAAAACCCAGAAGACGACTTTCTTCACCTCAAAGTATAGTTTTAGTTACACAATTATCTCTTCGTTATGGCATATATATTTACGCGCAAGAATACTTTGTAGACAAAAGCTTGTGTAGCGTTCAAAGAGAGTATGAAGTTTGCATTCCACTAATGACGACAGCAGAAAATAGAACAGAGCAAGATTCTCAAAGTCAAACGCAGAGCGATATTCTGTCCCATATCCTCTTAGCAGGAGTCTGGAGTTAGAGGAAGGTAAAGACAGAAAATACAATTTTTCCAAAGAACACAACACAAAAATTAGTTTTGTATGGGTAGCTGCTTGTTTTTACTACTGTATGCTTTATTTCCATTACAGCAGAAAAATGGCCACCTTCTTTTCACACACTGAGAGTAAGTAAGGAAGGAAAGTTCAATTAAAAAGAATAAATAATAATTGTTTGGGTTTAATTTTAAATTAAATAATATTATATTTCAGCATCCTGTTACACTCACACAATATATATGGATAAATACCGTCTTAAGTGCAAGTCTTAAGTACACCAGACAGCAAACGTATTAAAGATAAGCAGCGACACACACAGAGAGCGCCTACACTGAGTAAGTACAAATAACAGTATAAACATATAAGAATAACATTACATGACATAACATAAGATAGTAACAGGAATATTTGTATATTACAGACAACACATGAACAACGATAAAAACAAGAAGTGGCCGCTGCAGCACCGTAGATATAGGGCATGTACCCTGAAAAAATTTTAACTAAAAATTGAAAAAGAAAGAACAGAGATCTTATAGACATTTTAACTTGAATTAAGTTTTAAAAAGTGCTAATTTAAAAATCAAATCGACGCGTGTAGATTAACAAAGATTTTATACAATTAGAAAGACTGGTAATTTTAAATTTTAAAAAGCAGTGTAACAGCTACGTGAGTGATACACACCTGATGATGGCCATTTAGGGCCGAAACATGTAGTGTGGAGGAGGAAAAGAAGTAAAAACTACAATAAAATTTGTTGCACTTAAGACGGTATTTATCCATATATATTAAATTAAATACTCGAAATAATAATCACAGAATGAACCAGAATCTTAAATTTCAAGTAAATAATATTCAGAAGTTCTTCTTTGCCTCACAGAAAAGGTTGCTTATTTCACTATAAAGGACAATACGTTCTGCAGATACGCGGTCAGGAGAGATACAAGTTAGGTCACATGAATAAAGGAAAAGAGCATACACTAGAAATGTTTGATTTCGGATTACCTAAATACGACCGTGTTATGAAAATTTGGATGTGAGGTTCTCAGAGCCGCGATGGCTATGAAGAGCTCTAGCCACGTGGGCAGTACGGTAGTCTGGTAAGTTCAACCGACGTGTCGGAGTATTTTTCTTTTTTACTGCTAGTGGGGTGGGACTAAGTCCCTTGTACTGCGGCCATTTCTGGTCTGTTGTACCAGCCCTAGCTGATAGGTGAGGGTGATTGCGGAGCAATTGGTGGAATGAAGATTGGCAGGGGAAACCGAAAACCTGCCCCAGCGCCAATTTGTCCACCACAAATCCCACTTGACCAGACCCGGGATCGAACCCGGGCCGCCGCGGTGGGAAGCCAGCGACTCACCGCTTGAGCTATGGCGCGACCAGACGCGTCGGAGTAACAAGTCACCTCCATCCTCAGGGTCGTAGAATAACCCGAGCAAGAAACTTAAGCAAAACTTCTGCTGGACTACTCGTCCTTAGATGCGAGAGGATAAAACTCTTGCAGGTATGCAATGCATGCAAAGCGTCAAACTTACATAGCTTCTATTCTGAATATTATATTTAAGCATCCTGTTGCACTCTATACGATAAATGATACAAATTCCGTCCCAAGTGCAAACAATATATATTATATGTCTTTGATCTTGTTCTTTCTACACTACATGTTTCGGCCTCTATCGGCCATCATCAGGTGTATACTCTTAACGTTGCTGCCACACTGAACCCGGTCTAAAATTTAACATTTAAAAACACAATGTCACATTCTTCGTATTATCAACATCTACATCGTTGATATGTGTCTGGTATGTAGATTATGTTGCACACGTCCAATTTGATATTCCTGTAGTAGCACTATAAAATCTTTAGTTATGA